GCCGAGGAAAAGAAGGATTTATTTCTAGAAAAAAAGCCCTATGGCTCTGATACCATCTGGAAAAGAATAGGAAAAAATATTTTATTAATTCCAATAATTTACACAAGCCACTAAAGGGCTATATATAGACGAGTTAGATAAACTCATTGGAGAAAAGAACTTATCCCTAATTCTATTGTTAGCCGATCACCTAGAATCTAGGAAATAGATAAGCACATGATCCCTAGTCCTAGCCGATCATAATCCTTAGGAGATAATGCTTGTTTCTAGAAGATAATTTTAAAGATAATGCGGTTATTTCCCACAATATATATATAGATATAGATATAGACTTTGCTTTGTGAAGTACTTATTCGGCTAGTTCTAAGTCTGAAACTTTTATTTTAAGGGTTTTCCCTAAAAAACTTAAATGGATACAATGAAAGAAGGAATGTACGTTATCTTTGAGGCCTGGTGGGATTTTAAGCAATCCTAATAGGAAAGTTTTAAATTCATCCATTCATCAAATAAAGATCAAACTTCCACAAGAAGACAGAAAATTTCAACCAATCAAAGAGATGAAGCAAAGTTATGAGGTAAAAATTACAAATATGAAACGTAAGTTAGGGATGTTCCTTGGGTTCTTTGACTGCAGATCAAGTTTTTATATTTCCCAAGAGGGCGAAAAAAAAAAAGCGATGAGGAACAATAATATAAGAAGAAAACAACATTAAAATGTTAAGTGAAACAAACTTTGTCTGCAGAGAATGTGCTGATGCTAGTCTTCTTTTTGGATATGCAATTCCTGCCCTTTGCCGATTTGACATCTCTGGCTATGCGGCTCTTGTGTCTAACAGTTTTGAGATATCGAAGAACCTCCAGTTTGGAATAGAATTTGCTCCCATTCAACGGGTCAATGTAACTCTATAACAAAATTTCAGTCAGGCAAGGATCTACGCATGAACCGACTTAAAAAATTGTAATAAGAATGGGAAATGTAAAATGTTTACAATATATACATCTGAAATAGAATGTTAAATAAGATATTCTTTACCTTGTACTCTTTTCCAGCGAGTGTACCGCTCTTTCGAGTTCTCACCTCAACCTTCCAACCTTTAGGTAACCATTCTGGAAGCAGATCTTTCTCATTAACAGGCTGTCGACAAAGAGGATTGTGGTCACTAATAAATGGATCACACAAATGACAGTAGCAAAATACCAAAGATGCTAATATGACTCACTTGCAAAGGAGTCCTTTCTGCTTGCAAGCTAACATGCGTGTTAGACGTCTGGGGCTGAGTGGAACAACTGCTTCCCGCGCTAATAAGTTGGAAAACTTCATGCTTGGAGAGAACAATCTTCCCAGTCTCCGTGTTTGTATAAATCTATAAAAGCCAAATAAGTAAATTATGCTTTCATTCTTAAGTTGTTTTCTGCTCTTCTTTCATGAGTAACTATCCTCCTTTTCCATGCTCCTACAAGTTTCTAACTTAGTTTCTAAGAGCTCCAATAACCATAATTAGGCTATTGTCTTTCTCAATTCTGAAACTTCCAAGAATAAACAAACCGAGGCTTCAAAAAATACAAGAAACAAATGTGAAACCCACGAAAGGTACATCACATAGACAACATAACATAGATAGGAGAGGTGATTGTAAAACTAAATCTGGTTTCCCTATTGCCAAAAATGACAATTAGTTCATCATTTCCTTTTCCCCAAGACTTCCAAGCAAATAACGTGGAGATTTTTACTTTCGATTAACATTAAATATACTGTACCCCTATACTGTACCGCTATTCAATCTTAACAATACAAACTTAAAAACATTAAACCCCCATTAATAATCTAAATTAGTTTATTACATCATTTGTGCATATGGTCACCACCCATGAGTATTGCTAAAACTAATGTAGAACAGTACGCGGAATAAAAAATGAAAATGATACAGATTGTCAAGATTCCGAATTCCAGAAAAGAAAAGAAAAGAAAAGAAAAACCTCCCCATTTTATCTACAAGTCTTCCATATTTGGCAAATGAATTAAGATCATTAAACGCATTTTAAGTGAAATTTTCCAATTTTGAATCAGCAACATACTATAACTCCAAATGAAAAGCAATAACATAAAAAATCTTCTTCCACAAATTTGACAACAATTGCATCTCAATATCAACATAAAACCAGGAAAAAACAAAGGAGCTTGTTAATCATATAGCTTAGCTATTCGGCGATCAAAGCCACGGAATCTCAAATTCAATAACGAATTCGTAAAAAGCACAGAACAATTTCAGCTGAGCAATCGAAACTACGAGCTCAACGCCCGAAAGGAAAGGAGAAACCCTAGGAGAAAGAAACGAAATACCCCGACTTTACGACCGGACTTGAGAACTTTGAATTGTACGGTCCACCCGGAGGGAAGCCAGTCCGACGAGTCATTGGCAACCATGTCGCCCGTCTCCGGCGAGAATCACCGGAACCCGACGGTTTATCCTGTGATCAAGATTTTCTCTCTCTAGGTCTGTGTCAGTGGGGCTTCGAACTTTGGTAGTCCTATTTTGTTTGTCTCTCTTCCTACAAGTCTCGAGTAAACGAACTAAGAGAACCGAGTCGTAAGCTCATTGAGCCACTCTGCTGCCACGTGTTCATAAGTTTTTTTTTTTTTTTGTTTGGGTAACTAAGGCCTCCAAAGGAGGAATATAACTTTATTTAAACGAGCTGAAAACGGCCAAGGTATAACCAAAAGTCCAAGAACAAAAAATGGGGCATACAAGCAGACTCGAAGAATCCACTTGAGAGTTCGTGTATTGATCGATATAGCTAAACGAAACTCTAATTCTGAATGGAGCTAAATTCTTAATGTCAGTGATCCTAACAACCACAAAACACCTCACCTTGACCCATTTTTGACGCAAGACACCACCGAACAACACTAGAGGCATGGAAAAACCATCCTCTAGGCCAAACCCATCACACAAACACAATATAAAAACACTAAACACAATACAGAGGGTCGGTGGGGAGACCATCACCTTTTTTACACTAAACACAGAGCACAACAATAACAGAAAACACAAAATCTGAACGTCACTGCCATAATGATCCATGAAGCCGAAGTCCCTCCACGCCAACCTCCCACGGGCTCCAGCCACCCAACTCTGACCTCCTAACCACTAGAGAGCTCCAAAAGCCCCTCCACAGAAAAATCCTCGAACGTCTTAGATCCGCCCCATCTCACCCATTACCAGCAGCACGAACCCTCACCATCACGGTAGGGCCCCTCAACGCGGGCGGACACCGAATGGTGGCTAGATCCGCCAAGCCCACGGCAACAACCCTCTACTGAGCCAACATTTTTACTAATATTACTATATTTCCTTTTTTTTTTTTTCAATTTCTTGACAAACGGTGAAAATAAGGTTGTTTTCCTAAAATTTTAGTGTAGCGTATTAAAAAAAATGCTTTTATTAGCATACTCTCCATCAATTTATATTAGATTCGGTCATTTTACATACTTTGATTAGATTTTTTTTTCCGAGATTATTTGGGGTGAATTGAAAAGCTTGATGTGATGAAAAATGAGCTTTGTGTAATTTAAAATTTTAAAATTCTTAAGTAAAAAAAAACAAATTAAAAACAAAGTGTAAAAGTTTGACTTGTATAGGATTGGTGGACAACGAGTGCAAAAATAATTTGTAATTTTAAAGCTTGAGAGAAATTTTTTTTTTTTTTTGAAGTTATTTAGTTTGATGCATTAACTGATAATTGAAAAAATAAAACGTTTTTATTGGTTCATTGATAGGTACATTCATCTCAATTAAAGTAGAGATACAATTACATGGTTGCTTTTAATTCTGTTTTTTTCAACATTTTTTATCCTTTTGTTTTTCTAGAATGACTACCAGGTAAGCTCCAAGAGCAATTGATTCCTCCAACGGTATTATTGCTAGAAAAGAAAACTATGAAACTCTGTAGACAAAACCCAGAAATGTAAATAATATACCTCCAAATTACAAGTATAACAATTAATTGTCTGAAAGTGGTCGAGTCATTAATCGCCTTCTTTACGCTAACCTCATTTTTTCAATGAAAATGCCGCAACTGCACCTAAATATCCTTAAAAAACTATATGACACAAAAAAACCACCTCACTATTTATGAATAACAAGATCTATGTCAGTTTTCAATGAAGATTCAAAGAATAGGAACGAGTCCTTTTATAGACTCATCATCATTACTACCTCTCATTATATAAACATGTGGGACTTTGAGCTAAGGAGTAGCACACAAATCTCTGGCTTTACTAGTAGTGGGTTCGGTCAAATCAATTTTCTCCTCTAATATTTTATTTTCTTTTGAGAAAGTTAATTAAGGCTTCGTTCATTTCACCGATTCGAGTTTAGAATTTAAATTTTGTTATAGTAAAAAAATTTTAAAAACAGTCACATTTAACTTTTTTTTTGTTATAGTAAAAGATTCACATAAAATCACATCTCAACTTAAATTAAAAACTCAAATTAACGAACTAAACATGACATAACAATACCTTCAAGTAGCGTGTCCTCAAAGGATTTACACATTGATTTAGTGGGATTCTCATCACCTCGAGACATTTTGAGATATTATTAAGGACTTTTTAATAAGACTAATTTTTAATTGTTAAATTTAATTAAAATTCATTATATTAAAAATAATATGTGAAATAGATAATTTTTTATATAAATTTAATAGTTGAAAATAAATAATTATCGATAGTTTATTATTTATGGTCCAATAAAAAAAACTCTCTTATTATTATTATTATTATTATTATGAATTATTGTTATTATTAATATTATCATTATTTGCTACGGTTTGGGATTGACGCTTGTTGCAAGTCTTGTGTGTACTCAAAACTGAAGAGGGCTAATCTGGTAATTTAAGATAAACAAAGGCGCCAGGTTTAACTTACTAATTTAAAATGTCGTTTTTCCTTGTCCACCCATTTTGTACAGAACAAGATTTAAAGATATCAAACTCAAAAACAAACACAAACCAAAGGAATTATAAAAAGAAAGAAAGAAAGAAAAGAAAATCTGACCAATTGTCACTGCCACAATGCTCATTCAAGCCCATAACCTCACTTCCTCTCCCATTTATCGCCTTCAAAATCCCATAATCTCACGCCCTCTTGGGGTCAATGGTAATCAACCTCACTCATCACTGACAAAAAAAAGTTCAATTTTTCTTTCCTCTCCTATAATTTTTTTTTTCTACAATTATTGTGGATCTCAGTAATGCTTTTATTGTGACAATCCATGCATTTTCTAAAAAAAATTTTATTTTCAGTTTCTCAGTTGAATGGAGTTCTGAAAACGCGGTTCGGTAGAAATAAAAGATGGGGTATGACAGTTTCAGCTTCTGTGGAGCAGAGCTCGAGCACAAATCTGGAGAAGAAAAGGTTTTAGTATCATGTGTTACCAAACCGTTAGTTCTTTTATTTTTGGCCCAATTCAAAACTTTATTTTAGTTGCATAAATATAATGGCATAAGTTCACTTTCAAAATTACATCAAATGCGCGTTGTTCATCTCAAGACGTTTGGTTGGAAGATTCAAACGATGATTTGAATCATGGTTCATAATTCGCTACAGTGTTTCTTCTTATAAAAAATACACGTAAATCAAAAATTATTCTAATCACGTGATTTTAATTTATGAATTAAACGTCTCCTTAGTTTTTAAATGATACAGTTGACTTGTAGATTTAATTATGTGTCTGGCATAAGTTCACTTTCAAAATTACATCAAATGCGCGTTGTTCATCTCAGGACGTTTGGTTGGAAGATTCAAACGATGATTTGAATCATGGTTCATAATTCGCTACAGTGTTTTTTCTTACAAAAAATACACGTAAATCAAAAATTATTCTAATCACATGATTCTAATCTATGAACTAAACGTCTCCTTAGTTTTTAAATGATACAGTTGACTTGTAGATTTAATTATGTGTTTAAAATTTGTAACAGAAAAGTTGTGGAGCATATATGTCTGCTAAAAGCAAAGGTGGATTTATCTGAAGAAGAGGAAAATAATATGCTGGATTATCTCTACACAACCCAGTATCAAATGGGTGGCATTCTCTCAATATCATTAGGTAATCTTGATTTTAGATATATATAAATTGACCCCATATATTATTGTTATGTATTAGAGGCCCTAATCCATTACTGACAAGAGAAATAAAAAAAAAAAAAAAAGGGAATGAAGCACATATGTAAGAGTTATAGAAGTTCATGCTTAATATGAGAGTTGCGTATCTTTCCAACTGTTAGCGTTTTCAGTTTTCATTATGATTAAAAAATATTACAAGGGAATCACGCGCTTCATGCCTCTCGTACTCATTGTGTTTATCCTTAATCACATGTCGATACTCATTGTGTTTATCTTTAACTACGAAGGTCTAAATTAGGCTTCACACACCCAACAATTATGACATTGCCCAATTGTTCATGCCTTGCTGGTTCAGGACGTATCTCAAATCGAAACGACGAGAATTACACACACGCTGTGTACATGCGTTTCCAACGGAAGGAGGAGCTTGAGAAGTTCTACGAGAAGCCTTTCTACTTGGGAGTTCTCAAAGAGCATGTGTCGCCTTACTGCCATGTATGCCCTGACATGTAAACACCGACCACTCTGTTCCTTACGCTTCCTTTCTTGTAGTTATGCTCTTAAATATATAACTAGATTAGCTTTTGTGAAGCTAATTGGATCAGATATTGTTGTTTGTTATCAGGGATTGCTTAATTTGGACTATGAATCCGAAGTAGAAGACGATATCCTTCCTATATTTCGGAAAGGAGAGGTTGGAACAGGACATATGATCCTTTATGTTTAAGTTCTTAGATTCTTTTTAGATCTTCTAGTTATGTTTCATTTTGTTAGAATATAAAACTGTTATTGGCCCGCCTCACGACAATTTAAGCTTTGTCAAAGCACGAGATCCTGAATTCAAACTCCTAGAATCGCACAATCTAAACTTGTCATATCTTCTACAATATGCAATAGTAGTATTTAAAAGTAACTTCTGAAGAGGTTCCAATTACTCGCTCTTGGAAACAGGAGTTCAACAATGGTGTTGAATTTGTGCTTCTGATTTCGTTTGTTGATGATGCAATTGGGGCTATAGAAGACGCATTGGCTTCTCTGCAAAGCTTGACAATTGGATTTCCATCCTTAATTGCCCAATCTACTCAAGGTTTGTTTGAGCTCAAAATTGACATATTTGCTCTTTTCCCTCCTTACATATTTTTCTTTAGTTCTGTCATGTCAAAGAAAAATCTTACTTGTGGCATTGTCAGGTCGGAATTTTAACCTTAAAACCAAGGAGTATACGCATGCAATGGTGATTCGGTTTCGATCTCGTGAGCTATCATCTTTTGCACTCTCAAATAACTTGTATAACTCTGATTATGTACCATTACCACCTTCATTTTATTGACTGCTATTTACTGGTGTGTTTGTAGCTGAGGCTCTTGAGATATTTGAGGGAAGCTCAGAATACAAAGATGTAAGGAGCAAAATATGCTATTTTCACTTATTTATGCATTTATCATTGTATTTCATCATGAACATGAATTTGTTCTTGTGTCTTTTTTTGACACCCTTTCATTGTGTTAAAAAACCTTTAGGTGATATGACCATTAGATAAAAGCATTTCAATGAACTCATTTAGAAAGTTAAAAATCTCTGACGTCTTTCTTTTGCCTTTGCTATTTAGCAGCTTATAGCTAAAGGCATAAGCTATTATTATATTGTTTTGACATGGTTTTTTTTATCATTGTGGTTCTATTTGTTTCTCTGTGTTATTAAACTACTCTTTCAGAATTCGAAAACTTTTGGAATATAAAAGATCATGAACTTCTGAGACTTAAAAATCTTTGCAACTCTATGTTGTCCTCATTTAAGAGTAGGCGTCTGAATTATCTTCGAAACCTATTTGTAACACAGATGTGGAGGACTAAGTTTGAGCCAATCATTAGAAGAACACTTTCGGTTCATTTTTTGGTCGATCCAATCGGCACCGAGCTTATGTAGAGAGGACTCTTTGTGGTTTGTTTTCTGCACTCATACCATCTTTAACTTGCCTAAAAGATTGACAAATTTTGAACATATCATAAATTTCTTGCAGGGTTTTTATGATGAATTCTTGAATCTTGCTCAAGTCTTTTCTACTATTGAAGACATAAGCAAGCAGGTCTTAACTGTTTTTTCCTGTTGCACTCTTCCCCATAATTCCCATCCCTTCAATTATTTAATATTTATGCTTTGACACATTTGCATATTATTATAAATATCCCTGATGTGTTGAAGAATCTCAAAGGGGGAAGTGAAAAATATTTTAAGTCCAAACATAGTGTGCTTAATTAATATAGCTGAAACAGAATCATTATGTCTGTGGTTGGAACATTGTTTTCCATGTCTTAATCAGAAAATGTGCAATAAAACTTTTTTCCCTTGGTCTTAATAATATCTAATGTATTAGTTTCCCGTTCATTTCGCCGATTCGAGTTTATAATTCGAGTTTTGCTACAGTAAAAAGCTCTCAGAAACAGTCACATCTAACTTTTTTGCTACAGTAAAAAGCTCTCACACAAAATCACATGTCAACTCGAATTACAAACTCGAATCAGCGAAGTGAACGGGCCCTCAGTATCATCCACCATGAACCTTCTTTTCTTAAAAATCCATGTAGGGAAGGGCTGTCTCTTAAAAAAATTCACTCCTTTTTTTTCATGATTATGGGCTTAACTAGATCATTAGGGAGGATAATTATCATCAAGAAGTTGTTAATGTCAGATTGAATTGCTTGGATTTTTAAATGAGGCAAACATATTAATATATTCTACATATAATTATAATAGTATAATAGACACGTATAACGAAACCGTTTACTTTGATATTTGTTTTTTCTAACAAGAAAGTTACATTTCCGATACCTTCCAAAAAGATAGCTTGACTTCTAAGAGGAAAACCAACACGTACAGAAACTGCTAATAAAATATGATTTATATTCTGTATTCCTACTATTTTCCACCCAACCATTTGTTAGCAATAAAATAATGTAGCCAAAATTTGTTGGGAATTCATTAATGTGCTTTCATTGGACTTGTGTAATTATAAAAATAAATAAATAAATAAAAAGCAGCACAGTTCTTCCATAGGTACACATCTACTCTACATCTTACCATTATTTAATTGGTCATCTCTTGTACTTTTAATCCTTTTTACCTTCTGGAGCTGGCAGTTGCATGACCTCTCTACATACTTAGGTTCTAACCATTTTTTGTCTAAACTTTTCTTACTTCCTTAATTTGTATAAAATAATACGCTACGAGTACCGGTAATGTTGAACACTACAAACTAATAGAATATGTGGGATCCATCTTCTATTAGTTATCCTGCGTAGCACGGGTGAAGCATTTTTTTTTTCTCCACAAAATTAGTACATAATTTAAGCTATTAACCAGGATATTCATTGCTTAGCCCTGGTGGGAAAATATATTAGAGAGAGAGAGAGAGAGGAAAACAATATAAATTAATCGTTGCCATCTACATGATCAAATTGATCTCCAAGACATTATTGCAAGCATGTGAGCTTGATGGTGCCATGCTATCTATTACAAATTTGAGAAACTACCAGATTTGCATTCTTTTCAACTGTGTATATATTACATCCTTCCAAGAGAAAACAAAAATAATAATAATAAAAAAAAGGAATATACACTAAGAAACTGCAAAAATTTTTGTGTACTACTCAAACACTCACAAGACCTGCAAGATGAATTTTCAATTGTGGAGCGGGTTTGGTCCCCCAGGAACTGCTCGTAGCGAAGCGCCGTATCTCGGGTCGATCTGGTGTCCTCTGGATTCCTCTGGAGGTTGTGCAGATGAATGCCATGAAAACCGGGAATAGAGCTTAGTGGTTTTGGCTGTTTTCTTGGCTTCTTCAGTGCTTGTGATAAATCTGTTGATGTGGCGGCAACTTGAGAACTGGCTGATCATGAGTATGATTATCAAGAACACGCAAGGAAACTTGGGATTTTGAATCCCCATATGAGTTCTTGAAGTTTTCAGGAATTCTTGATAAGAAAGAGAGAGAGAGAGAGAGAGAGAGATGAAGAAGATTAGAAAATTGAGTTTGTTTCTGATATGCAAGGAAGTTTGAAGTCTTTTAATACGCAAATCAGACAAGGCTGTGGTGGAGAATAGAGCCAGACTAAAGAATTGATATTGTGAAATGACAAAAATGCCCTTTCATTGCAAAGAAATTATTTTGCTATAATGTCATTTTCACTATCCAAATGCTCCTTGTCGTCTCCCTTATTGTTTATCATGCATTTTCTCATCTTTTCATAGTACTAACGAAAAGCTTGATTTGTGTTGCAGATCATTATTCAAGTTTGGAGTCCTTTTGGATGATAAGATAAAAGTGAAGACAACTAAAGGCATTAATCAAATGGGAATTTTGGTTTTACACTTTACAAAGACATGTTTTGTACTTCTTTTACTTGATAGCAGCACTTGAGGCTTTGGTGAGGGGAAGGCTAATATGGTGATTTTCTACACACTTGAGTGCAATATTAAAAAAAAAAAAAAAAAAAGTTTCTGACGGTTGTGAGCGTCGACTTTTCCTTAATTGGATCTCTCTAATGCTCATTTGCTTCCATAATTTAAACTTGACGCTAAAATTATTGGTGGAGACTTGAGTTACCTTGAGGACCACGTGGTGCATGATTTTCTGTTACAAGTGGCATACACGTTGGCTTTGATCGGGTGGTTTTATGCATAAATAGTCTTATTCACTTATTCATTATGCGAACTGCTCCTTGTTGACGATTTTTGCCTTAATCACATTCTATCATAATATATATATATATATATATATATTTTTTTTTTTTAAACTGGGGTTGGCGATTCAATACTGAATTCAATATTGAAAATAAAGAGTGTGAATTTATCGCTAACTATGTCTTTAACCGAAGAATAATATAGGGGTTGTTCTTTTGGAGTGTAACTTGAGTGTAATTTTTGAGTTATAACTTGAGTTGAAGTTGTAACTTAAATAAAGTTGAGTAAAGTTGAATAAAGTTAAAACTTAAAAGAACGTGAACTTGAATAAAGTTGGAACTCAAGTTGTCTTTTTTTGAGTTTTTTAGACAAAAGAACATGCCCTATAGTATTCAATATAAATGATGATATTTACTAGTTCTCTTGGGGCATAACGTCCTCTTGCTTCCAAGGTCTTGAGCATATAATTATTTCTCTAACAAGCTTATATATTGGCATTGGATAACCAAGATCTTTCCAAGAAGGTTATCTGGGTAATTAATGAAAGTGCTGTACTATGTAGACATAAACATTAACAATATCATCCTTCAAGTGACAAGTAACATGGGCCATAGCAAAGAAAAAGGGAGTGAATTATGAATAAAAAGGGGCAAAATTTTAGCGTCTGATTAGGTGGTTGGAAGAATTATACATATTAAACAAAGTTCAGTTTCTGTTGTATTTTTAAATTAAAAAAATGGGGAGAAAAATGAATGATATCAGCAGTCTCTGCGATGCCCACAGACTGATTTCATCCTCATTGGTAACATAATAATAATGTATTTAAACTAAGGTTGAATCACCAAGCTTTAAGCTAAGATAAATAAAATAATCTAGGGGGTGGATAATATAATCAATTATGAGGTTTTGAAGTTTGCAACTTAACTGTGGCGTGTTTGACAAAAAGTGATTCCAATGCATAAGCAATAACCTCATGTACATAATTATATATATATATATATACATATATATATATATAGGTAAGATCTCCGGTCAGACATTTGAAAAGTGCCTGACCGGAACGGCAGTTATATATTTCTACATAAATCATGTATATTTACATGTAAATTGTGTATATTTACATGTAATTCGTGTATATTTAACATGAAATACAACAAATCAGCCAATATACATATTTTCATGCTATGTGTTCACTAATTGCTATAAAAAATACATATTTTGAGGATTAATATATATTGTCATTTTTTATAACTTAACATACACGACTTTACATATAAATATACACGATTTACATGTAAATATATACAATTTATGTAGAATTATACAATTACCGTTCCGGTCAGGTACTTTTCAGTGTCTGACCAGAGACAATTCCTATATATATCATTCTAAGAAAATAAATAAAATGATGTCACATATCTTAAGCATTATTGATTATATCTTAAGCATTTAATTGGAAATGTCAGCAGTCTTCACCGACTCCTGTAAAATTATGCCATGTCCTTGTCTCCTATTGACCAACCTTTGTCTTAAATGTTGTTACTATTTGTTAAGGTTTTCAAATCGTCCTCTCGGGGTCGTCACGGCTTTAATTTCGTTTCACTTTACAAAGATTTTCAGTCTGGCATTTCCGTAGTTCAGCACATGGTACGAAATTTCAGAGGAATGGGTAAAATTAAATGCTATCCAAGGAACTAATTAATAGGGAACATAATATGTATATTTTTATTCCATCAAAATTAGTTTCTCTCCTAGTGTTGTGGTCATATTTATAGCAAAATTGAAAGAGAATACCAAAATAGGTGTTAAAAGAGAGTACAAGTGGGTGCTAATTTCCTCGGGCGCAACTGTATTTAGAGTTCAAATCTATCGTTTCTATTTTCTGTCTTATTATAGTTGTCTTCCCAATTTATAAACTTTGACACATAATTTAATTGTTTAAGTATTTTAGTATTTCATTCCTAATTATGTGATCATGTTCTTAAATTTTAAATAACATAGCGATAAGTAGTAATGGACAAGTAAATAAGAACATAGCTCAACTCATATCGATCAATAATACATTGTCATGCCATGTAACCTAAACTATCTCTCTCTCTTTAAGGTTGTTATTAACAGAAAGGACATACCATGTTTGAAGAAATCTTCAATGGAACCCTGTCTTACTTTACACTAGCAAGGGTAATCAATTAGACTATGCGATAAAGTTCTTTTATTTTTATGACACATTATATTATTGTGTTATTATATGGCCATATTATAAGGTCTTGGCAAACTAGTCATCATCATTGACTATATAAAACTTTAACCAATAGTCTTAAATCTTATCTCACATATCATAGAGTAGCTCTTAGCTATACACATTTAGATTAGCATTAGCTATATAGAAAGGTAAGGGCTAGTAGCAACTTGGGACATTTTAGGCTATAATGCCTAAGGTATGGTTCTAATATAATGTGTCTTTGATCGTTTGGTTCGGTTTCTAAAATATGGACCAAACCACATGATCTGATAGTGATATGTGCTAACTTGGTTGGGTTTCAGATTACAACTGTTTTGTACACAACTGAGTGATAATTCTTCTTTATTTGATTGCTACAACTCCTTGAGTTTCTAACATGACACATCACTTGATGAGCGGCTCATGATCATACACAACTTGCCAATTGTTTAGAAATAATAATTTTCTTCCTATCATGCCAAGTGTTTTATCTCTTGATTACACTCACAAGTTTATTAGATAATCAGATTTTAATATTGTCATTATGCGTGTTTTGAGAGATATGGGCGATAAATCTTGGTCAATATTTAGATCTTATACGAAAGAAATCGGATGTCAGTATCTAGGAATAGTAATATTTTGATGCTTAAAGTTGCTCTCGCTTTCATAACTTGAAATTGGTAGAAAAATAATTGTGGCAGTACTTGAAGTTGTGGTGACACAGTGACCACTTGACCTTTCCTATTCACTTTGTGGAACGCATGTTGGATTCCTTAACTGTTGAAGACGTGATAAAAGAAGGAAAAAAAAAAAAAAGAAAGAAAGAAAAGAGAATTCTACGGTATTATATAATAAGGAAAGTAGTCGACAATAATCGATTTTGTGAATTATGGGAATGTAAATATTTCTCTTTATTTGTAATTACTAGCAGCATCTTTTATGCTTTAGGAAACTAGTGATAGAAGAATTATTCTTTTCCTTGTCTGCATTGATAATGATTTGTGTATATATTGTCATCTTAATAAAAAATTGTCGAGTCATTCATACAACTTTCTCCTTCTCATCTTAATCTCTTTATTATATTATAAAAATACCCTCACTCGTTTTGCTATATTTTGAACTCTCTGATTTGCATTAAATTTTAGTAGATTTACATATTTTTTTCATTATAACGGGATTTTGACCGTATCTAATATTAGAAACATGCACTGTGGGTAGAGTAAGTACTCCTACCGTTGAAAGCTCCCAAAAAGAAGACAAAAAGTTTTTGTGGGCTGCTATAAGTTTGCCAAAAATTGCAAGAGACACTGAGAAACGCTTTCCAGAGTTGGCAAATATTGTCTGAAATGAACTCAAGATATAAACTGAAAGTCTCAAGTTAAAAGCAAAAACACTTCAACATTTATCGAGGGAATTTAAAAACTAGTGAAGCAAGAAATTGCAGATATATAAGATACATTTATCGAGGGAATTTAAAAACTAGTGAAGCAAGAAATTGTAGATATATAAGATGTGTAAAGAGTAGGGAACAGGGAAAACACGAAAAGCACAAAATCCTAAAAGATAATTAGGTATAACTAATATTAAAATGACAAGAAACTGTCCGTGCTTCTTTATTTCGTTGGCCTTGGAAATGGATCAAAATGTCATGAAAAATGTTAAACAAGGGCTTGTTTGGGAGAGTTTCCTATTGCTTTTATACGACAAAAGAAGAGAAGTATTAGCCTCTAAGTCACTGTTTAGATAATATGTTGTAAAATATATTTTTAAGACAAATAGATTTTTGGTTATAGGAGACGTCATTTGGGTCTGTCTTCTCAAGAAAAAGGACAAAAAAAAATAATTTTCAGAAAGTCAAAATTCAACAGATTTAGGTCTAAGTTGGTTGATCAAAGACAGTCCTCAAATGGCTTCTTTCTAATCAAACGCAAGCATTGAGTCTGGGGAAAATAAAAAAATGCACATGCCAATATATACGTGTATATACAAATATATATATATATATGTATATATATGTGCTGGATAATAAATAGAAAATAGCTGCAAAAAGAAAAGGAAATTCTCCGAGGAAGTTCAAATTTATTCATGACATAACATGTGCTCATACACTTTCAAACTTATTGTATTTTCAGCATTGTTTAAAAAAGGGCACAAATAACCACCTGCATCTGATCAAACTGATTATAACCACCTGCATCTGTACAAATAACCACCTGTAATTTCGTCACTGTTCCTCATCAAACTGATTCCCCCTCATGAACTCTTCGTCAGCAATCGTGCCGCCATTGCACTTAGGGCAGCTCCTATCCGTGCAAGTTATAAACTTCTTGAGCCGCGAGGCGTTTTCGATGAGTTCGTTGTCAACTTCTCGGAACAACAAGCCACCTGCAGGGTGACGCTCATGCCCAGCCTTATCCGCCACGCGGAGATGAGTCAAATTCAGAACCTCCAAGTGCTCCAAGCTCTTCAGCGCATACAACAGAGCCTCCTTGCACGCCACGGTGCAACGAAGGCTCAAGAACTTGAGGTTCGGGGCATTTGTAACGATGGCATCGGCGAAATCAAGATCAAAAGAGCACAGGATTTTTATTTCAGAAAAATTTTTGCAGTTAGCACCAATGGAAGTCATAATTCCCTCGCAACGAAAATTATATATACAAAGCAGTCACGGATTCGAGCTCCTTCCAGTACTTTATCGCCTCTTCGAATGCAAACATGTCTAACGGACTCCATGGTGGTAGGACTAGGCTCTTGAGTTTAGGGCTCCTGCAAGTAGAATTAGTCCAGACTTTAGTCCCTGCCTAGCAAGATGGTTTAATTTCTCCTTCCAAGTAATAAAACACGTTAGTGAATAAGTATTACCTTTGAGCGGCATAGATTAACTCCCTGCCGTCTACGTCCACATAGAAATTAATTAACATCAAACAAGTCAAATTTCCGCGGCTAAGATTCAAAGCACCACACAAGACTAGCAGCAACATCCTGCATGATCTATTGTCGGCCATGGAAAAAGGACGGCGGGCAATGCTGAGCATGTTCAATTGCACCGAATTCAAATCTAGCTTCTTCCACAATGAGGGGTCCGAACAGGCTGCGCGCCATGTCCTGCAGGTTCGGAACGCACCAGTAACCAAGTCCAGAAGGTTGAGAGACATGAATATCCTTACAAGTATGTCATGAGGCAGGTCACTCCAGCTGGTGGATCTTGAGACTTTCTTATTCATCTTTCAAAGCAGATTACGCCTACAACATGCCGAAATAGAAAATTTAACACAGTTGGCAGGCAATATTCGCGATATTTATAAATCGTGAAGGGCTAAACACAAACAACCCCAAATAAAATGATTACTGAGTAAAGTATAAATACAAATAAATAAAGATATTTGTTTGTAATACGTAAGTCGCATAATATTTTTGGCCAATATGATCAACAGCAAGGAAACTTTAAGAATGTATGAACTGTCTTAAAAGGCTTTGGTTTAGAAAACTGCGATGCATAACATTCAACTTATTGAGTGTTTAATCGTACATAAAATATCAGTTAGAAGTTTTAGTGACTCTCTATTCAAGAAAATTCAAGTTGAACATCAAAAAGTAGTCTCATAAAGTCAACTCTCTGAGCAAAAAAAAGTTTATATTCTAAGCAAGAAAAATGTAAAACATCAGGAAGAAAAATGGTCTTAAATTCTATAAACCAGAATTGCTATATGTTAGAATCCATCATGCACATGAAACATAAAATGACTGTTCAAACAACTCAGATTTCCTAAGGTACATGGGAGTTTGCTAACTATGTATAGGGCTCAAAGTGAACAAAAATGAAAATAAGAGAGTCGTGCAATATCTCTCTGCAAAATGGATTATAATAGACAACTTTAAATAAAGATCACAAGTCAAATTAATTATTGTTAATTACTTAGCCACTATTGTAATGGTACTGCAGAGTGCACTAACTGTTAAAAAATTGAAAGTTATAAAAAGCCTTATTTAATTAAGGCGTGTTTAGTAAAAGTTTTACTAAAGGAAGAAAAAAAAATCTTGTTTATGTCATAAAGGATCTTCTAAAGTATATCAGCTAAATGAGAATTTAAAAGGCTAGGGCTCTTATGACTCTTCTTCTTCTAAGTAAAAATAGAAGTAAAAACTCCCCAAACAAGCCCTTAATACCCCAACCCCTAGAAGCTAAAACCCCTTAACGCACTTTATCCTGCATGAATCGGTTATTGACGCAAAATAAGTAAAGATAAAGATATAGCAAAAACTATTAATTGATATAGAAAAAGCAAAGGAAACTTAATACCCTAAACCCTAGAAGCTAAAACCCTCTAAGAACATTGTCCATCATGAATTATAGTTATTCACGGAAAATAAGTAAAGATAAAGAGATAGCATAAACGATTAATAAAAGTAGAAAAGTAATACGAAAGCTTAATCCCCTATCCCTAGAAGGTTAAACTCACCACGTACATTATCTTGCATGGATAGGTTACTCACGTAACATGGGGAAAAATAAAGAGATACCAAAACTATTAATAAAAGTAAAAAAAAATAAAAACTTAAAAATGCGCAGCCTCTAGAACCTAAACTCGCTATGTGCATTGTCCTGCACGAATTGGCGGTTGTTCACGCAAAATCGATAAAGATAAAAGCGATAGCAGAAACTATTAATTGAAGTAGAAAGTAACGAGGAAACTCAATACCCTGATTCTAGAAACTAAAATCCGATACGTACACGACTATCCTGCATGAATCGGTTACTCACTCAGAATAGTTAGAGATAAAGAGAGCAGCAACTATTAATTCATGAAGTAGAAAAGTAATAAGAAAATTTTTACATACATATGATTGCAGAAGATACAAATTAAAAGAATAAGAGAATCATACACTAATGCCATAATGCATATTTCTACACCGCAAATTTACCGGGTAAGTTCAAGAATATAAGAATAATTTATGCTTATTAATCCAACATATATCGGCAAAGAAAAAAAGGAGAGAGAAAACTAAAATTTATCTGAAATCATAAAGAAAACTTTGAGATCTATATGCTTCTTTTCATGCTCTTTTAATTTAAGAAAGCTTTAAGACCTGCAACACTTTTTGATCATTGTGAAAAAATTTTCAAAGAAAGCATGATCAGACTTCACCATATATAAGATCAAACTACCAATCTCAAAAATCAGACTTTTAGTTTCTCTCAAGCGTTTACAAGAATAAAACCTCAGGTTCACAATCACTTCGGGCTTATGCGAAAGCAAAAGCAAAAACTATACCAAATAAAAAATAAATATAGAACTTTCCTTGTTCAACAACAAGAAACAAACCTCTTTTATGCAATCAAAGTAGCAAAATTTCCTGGTTTTTTTCACACAAGATAGTCGATCCACTAAAAGTTCTTATAAAAAAACTTGAAACTTTCAAGCTTGAGTTTTGAAATAGAAAATCTACCTAGAGTACATCAACAAGAATACAACTATGTAGAAACAGACTTGTACTGAGCCACCTTTCATGCGGCACTGAAGTCACTGACAACTTTTGTTGTTTTCTAAATACTTTCCATTAAAAAAAAAATTGAAAATAAAAAAAGAAAATCTACCTAGAGTACATCAACAAGAATACAACTATGTAGAAACAGACCTGTACTGAGCCACCTTTCATGCGGCACTGAAGTCACTGACAACTTTTGTTGTTTTCTAAATACTTTCCATTAAAAAAAAATTGAAAATAAAAAAAGAAGGAAAATTTCTCTCTAATGAGAAAAATCTAATGCGTATAAGAAAAAAAGATCAATGAAACAAAGAGGAAAAATGAAATGGAAATCTTATTCTGAGAGAGAAAAATTATTTTACCTCTGATCTCTGAATGTTGCTAAAGTTCTGTCTTCTCTGTAATCTTAAATAGAAATTAAGTGCTCATTCAAAGTTCAGTACTATTTCTTATATAGCTGTCAAACTTGCATAATTACAATCAAGTCCTTATACCATATATAAATATATATATATATATATGTAACGCATGTTCTTTATATCTGTCATTCGCAATACATATTAAAAAGAAAACAAAGCAAGAAAAATTATATTTTTTTTTCTGTCTAGGGTTTGGAGCCTGGAGCATTGAATCATAATCCAGGGCCAATGTCTTAAAGTAGAAGAGAGGTAATTAAGTGTTCTATATGCAAAATCTACAATGAAGGTATTGCTGGATATTATCAATTTAACCATCTTTTTATATATATAGCCTTTAATAACTTGCTATGTTTATAGAAGAGAGAGAGAGATTTTCATATTTCTCTCGTTTTTAATTAGCCGTTCCCGAATTTAAATTTTTCTAATTTGGTTTTTGAGTTGCTTTTGTGACCGTTATATTTTAAATGCAAATACCGGAAAATTAAAAAGTTTTGGTTTTTATTTTTTTGACATAAAATACAACTGGAAAATGAGATAAAACAAACTTGATTAGATTAGTAGAACTAAGGAAGTTATTAGGAGCCTGATTTTTTTTCTCCTCTGATATTAGAAGCCTAATGAATTTACATTGTTCCCCGCCGATCACAGTTCATCGTTCGCAGTAAAATCGGCAGGCTATTTTAGGGCGTATGTTTAGTGTGCCCTAATTCCGGTTATACATAAGGAATTTTAGGGCAACCGTTTTGGGTAGTGAAAAACAAAGACCGAGACGTGCATTTTTGGTAGATTGTAGTTTGTACTAATTCTTTCTCAGGTTATAGTGTCTATAGCGACAAGTAAACGTAATTCTTACATTAAGAGTGAACCATTGTAAATATTTATACTATAATTTTGTTTTTCTTCTCATTTTCTTATTGCTCCGGCATAGCATAAATTAGGCTTTTAATTCTTTATTAACACATGCTAATACGACGTAATAAACATGCCAATTAATTAATATTTTCTGGTACTTATAGCCTACTGCCGGATATTAGCTAGTTTCTTGACTTTCTTCAGTACTTTCTCAGCTAGCAAATAAACAAAGACTTAAATGGAAATTAAACAGAAATAAAATGGAAAAACTTTTCATGAAAGTTGAAATTTATTCCTGAATAATATTTACAGAGTTCTCCAACTTAAAGTTTGAGCTACGCTTAAGAGAACATGATATTGTTAATGCATATAAATCAGACTGCAAGAGAAGGCATTTCATTTCATTTCATTCACACGCCAACTAATTGCATGATTTCCCCATCAGCAAGCGGAAGCTTGCAGGCACAGACCTTGAGCCATTTTTGTTGATTTCATTGTCGGGATCTACATATATCACGAACCGAATGTTGCCATGCCAAACCCTTTCCTCCTGGAAGTTATGAGATAGATCCAGCACCTCTAGATGCTTTAGGTTCTTCATCAAAAAGGTTAGAGCTTCCTTGCAAAATATCGATTTTAGAAGGCTGAAGACCTTAAGTTGCGGAATATACCGAACTATGGCCACCGCAAATTCAAGGTTGAAAAGGGACACAATAGCAAGCTTAGAGAAGTTCTTGCAGTGAGTTCCAATGGATTTCAACATAGTACATGGAAAAGTAGTCCATACTACAGTCAAAGATTCGAGGTCTTTCCAGTGCTTGACAGCCTCTTCGAATCCGGCAATGGCTAATTGACTCCATGCAGAGAGGACTAGTTGTTTGAGATTTGGGGTCCTGCAGCGATTTCTCTTTCCAGTTAAACATATATGTACATAACAGAAGAAGAGAAATAAAAGCTCTACATCTCGTGTTACTGTTCGGATGACCTTTTTCGAAAGAGCTTTTTGATGAATTTTACTTGCAAACACTTACTGTAAAACTATGAATTTTACTTCTTTTCTTCTACAGATAAAATACAAAAGCAAAAACTCTGGCAAACGAGCCTTTTGACTTCTCGTGGAAGACCTTTTTAACAACTGCTATTCCCAAGAACCAAAATCTGGCTTCTAAAGCTATGTGAGACTGGCTAATGTGAAGTTTGGGAAGTGAAAAGCAATACCTTCGTACTACACAGAGGAGGTACTCATTCGTTAAGAGTACCCAATATAATGGAACGTAAGGCAAGTCACACTCCCGAAACTGAGATCCAAAGTATTCTTTAGGATCCTCAAGTGCTTGATACCCTGGTCAGACCAAGCACCAATACCTCTGGGAATGTTGATCAGATCAGATTCATTCATAGTATTGAAGTCGGTTTCTCGCCATAGCATGGGGTCAGAACACGCAGCGCGCCATGAGCGACACACGCCGGAGACACCGGCAGCCAAGTCAATAATGTTGAGTGACATGAATACGTTTACAAGGACATCATAAGGAAGTTCACTCCATGATCTGGTGGATCCACGGCTGTTTTTCTTCATCATCTTCGAAATAGATTGCGCCTACAGATATGGAAAACACTGTGAGCACCGGAACATCACTATTATATATCATTTCTCCATTAAGGCTTAAACCATGATCTATGAATTAATTAAATCATGCAAGTCAATAGTGATCAAAACTTTGAATCGGACTTAACTGACTTGGTAAAATGAAATGCAAATAAAGACTTGTACACCTTCCATACAATTTAGAACAAAATACAAAGAGTGAAGAACAAAAAAGGAATATGAGGAAAATATGAAGCATCATGAATAGCAGATTGATTGGATGGTTCATGATTGTCAATGTATGTCAGTTGAGACATGGCAATATATTCTGTTAGTGCATTTTTGTATTGGCTTTTTTTTTTGGCAAATTGGTTGAAAACTATATTTGGTAAATTGGTTGCAAATTGGCTGGAAAATTGGCTGGCACAACAAATAGGTGAGCCTTTTAAGGAAAGTCTAGTTGTCTAGTTTAAGGGCTGAAAATCAGAGGAGTTGATTGCTGAGATTGAAGAGTGGACTTTGGGAATTAATGGATGGAAATTCTTTAGGCTGGAGGTTTTTTTTTGTATTAGATTGAACGGCAGCAATGGTGTGAGATTTTATTGTATTGGACTGAATGTATTCTGTGTAAAAAAAGAGTGCTGAAAATGAAAAAGCTGCGTGTGTTCATGTGAGTATGAGATTGTAATGTTAAGAGTCGCTTGATGTGTTGCGACGGATTGTGAGAACACTTTTAAATTGGTTCTTCGGGAGAAGATTTCTTTGGTTTCAGGAGGAAACCGTCAAGTTGAGTGGTGCTCGCTGATCAAGCTTTCTAAGGAGATTCTAGGCAACGGCAACATCATCAAGGAGGGAGTCGTTAAGTGTGTAAGACCGTTCGGTCCTTTGTAATCTTTTGAACTTAGTGGATTAATCACTGTCTGGGTGTGGCCCCGCAGAGTAGGTGTGCGCACCGAACTGCAATATCATTTTTCTGGTGTTCTTTACATTCCTGCATTTTGCCTTGCTGGTTTAATTTCAGATTTACTGTTAAAAACAGTGTTACAGTAAAGTGCTGCAACACCACTTGTGACACCAGGATAAAAACGGACCTAACAATTGGTATCAGAGCGGTTCACTAACCTTTTTGTTTGGTGAGATTTGGGGAGTTGGTTTGTTATAGCAGGGATAGATTTTTTGAGAGAAGGTAGTTCGGTTTCACGTCCTCCTCTCCTCGATGGCTGCAATTACTTTTATTAGAAAGCTCGTATGAAGGCGTTCATCAAAGCACTTGATGAGAAAGCGTGGCGTGCTGTGTTGATTGGTTGGACACACCCCGTTACCAAAAATGATGCTGGAGAAGAAGCAATGAAACCCGAAGAGAAATGGTCTACTGAAGAACATCGATTGGCGAATAGCAATTCAAGAGCTCTTAATGCCATCTTCAACGGAGTGGATGCCAATCAATTCAAGCTCATTTCTACATGTGAGACGGCTAAGGAGGCTTGAGAAATTCTATAAACGGCGCATGAGGGCACGGCAGCCATGAGACTATCAAAACTTTAAATTCTCACTACTAGGTTTGAAAACTTACGCATGCTTGAAGATGAAACAATTTCTGATTTCAATTCAAAATTATGTGATATTGCTAATGAGGCAGTTGCCCTTGGAGAGAAAATATCAGAGGAGAAGCTTGTGAGGAAGGTCTTGAGGTCTCTTCCACGGCGGCGTGCTTATAAGGTGACAGCTATTAATGAAGCCAAGGATATCCAAACAATGAAACTTGATGAGCTAATGGGTTCTTTGCGCACTTTTGAGATGAATTTGGATGAAAATAAGGAAGGAAAGAAGGAGAAAAGTATTGCTTTTTAAGCCAAAGCTGATTATGATGATGAAGAAGACTTGGCCCAGTCCATAACAAAGTTGTCAAAAAAATTCAACAAGGTAATGGAGAAGGTCAATAGGAAGAATGAGAATTCAAGAAATTGCAATTTCAGCAACTTTCAAAAGAGTAAATCTGCAGCAAATAACACAGAATTGAAGACAAAAAACAGAGGTATTCAATGCCGAGAGTGCGACGGATATGACATATTCAATCCGAATGCACCAATACCCTCAAGAAGAAGAAGAAGTCGTTTAATGCAACGTGGAGTGATGAAGACTCTGAAGGCAGTCAGGAGGATGAAGACCATGTGAGTAACTATGTTGCTTTCAATGTTTATACTGATCAAAGTGTTTCTGTAGACAGTGTTACAAAATGTGTCACAGACAGTGTTGTAACACTGCCTGTAACATATTCTGTGAACAGTGAAAACGGATGAGATTTTTCAGATTCTGAAAGTAACAGTGATGGTGAGGAGTTGACTATTGATGCCATACAAGAATCCTATAAGACTATGTTCAGCAAATGGGTTAAAGTGTGTGAAATGAATAAGTCTCTACGGGAACGAGTTGATGAGCTTGTTAAAGAGAAGGATGAGCTTAAGAGGGCTGCCGTTAACTATGAATTTCAAGCTACTGAAAATGAGAAAAAGCTGCAGAACACAAGGGCTGAACTGGAGAGCACTCAGAAAAATTTGAAGATGATGAATTCTGGCACCACCAAATTGGATCATATTCTCTCTATAGGAAAATCAAGTTGTGATCGTCATGGACTTGGCTACACCGGTGAATGTTCAACGTTCAAGACAGTATTTGTGAAGGAGACACCGCTTCTGAACCTCGGACAACCCTCAGTAAGAAGGTTATTATTTCACCCCCTCGACATAAAAGATTTGTTCCCATATGTCATTACTGCGGTTTAGCTGGCCATATAAGACCAAGATGCTATAAGTATTTGAATGCTTTGAAGAGAGGTATGCTCACGAATCCACCAAATTCCACAAACTCAAGAAGGACACCTAAAACAAGGATTGATGTGCAAAATAAATTTCCTAGACGTGTTTGGGTAAGGAAATATGATTTAAAGTGTCATAGGACTTATACTTCTTTAGAAGCATGTACTAATGGTTGTGTGTGTAGTAATGGTGGCTGGTCCAAGCATTTGACAGATGATAATATCAAGTTTAAGAGAGTGTTACATTTAGGGGGAGTAAGACTCGTAGAGGACTCAGGGGGAGCAACAGCTTCTAAAAGGTTTTTCTATTAGTATTATTTTTTAACTTTGGTTGTCTTTTGTCAAAAAGGGGGAGAACTCTTAATTCAATTAACCCCCTTAGTTGGTTTTTTATCTTTTATCTTGTAATAAGTTTTTTTTGTTAGTTTTGCCAAAAATAGCCAAAGGGGGAGATTGTTAGTGCATTTTTGTATTGGCTTATTTTTGGCAAATTGGTTGAAAACTATATTTGGCAAATTGGTTGCAAATTGACTGGAAGCTTGGCTGGCACAATAAATAGGTGAGCCTTTTAAGGAAAGTCTGGTTGTTTGGTTTAAGGGTTGAAAATCAGAGGAGTTGATTGCTGAGATTGAAGAGTGGACTTTGGGAATTAATGGATGGAAATTCTTTAGGCTGGAGGTTTTTTTTTTGTATTAGATTGAACGGCAGCAATGGTGTGAGATTTTATTGTATTGGGCTGAATGTATTTTGTGTAAAAAAAAAAGAGTGCTGAAAATGAAAAAGCTGCGTGTGTTCATGTGAGTATGAGATTGTAATGTTAAGAGTCGCTTGATGTGTTGCGACGGATTGTGAGACACTTTTGAATTGGTTCTTCAGGAGAAGATTTCTTTGGTTTCAGGTGGAAACTGTCAAGTCGAGTGGTGCTAGCTGATCAAGCTTTCTAAGGAAATTCTAGGCAACAGCAACATCATCAAGGAGGGAGTCGTTGAGTGTGTAAGACCGTTCGGTCCTTTGTAATCTTTTGAACTTAGTGGATTGATCACTGTCTGGGCGTGGCCCCACAAAGTAGGTGTGCGCACCGAACTGCGATATCATTTTTCTGGTGTTCTTTACATTCCTGCATTATTTTCCTGCATTTTGCCTTGCTGGTTTAATTTCAGATTTACTGTTAAAAACAATGTTACAGTAAAGTGTTGCAACACCGCTTGTGACACCAGGATAAAAACGGACCTAGCATCTTCAAAAATAGGTTGGAATTGGAGAACCTTAAAATTTTAAAATAAAGTATATGTTGCTCTTCAATAAGATCTATAAATTCAAAACTAGACCCAAAAATAAAATAAAAAAACAAACCTGCTAATAAGTTTAAGAATGCATAAATTACATCTTAGGAACTTCGAAGGTTATTCTTTAATGTACTTCAAAAATCTTAGTTTCATAACAGGTAGGAAATAACAAGGAATGCAAGAAGGAAAAGGGAAAAAGAAGTTCGATTTTGGAATTATTTTTTGAGCTGGACATGAGAGCGAGTCAGAAATGTAATCTTCCGTGTTCCGTAACACGACAAAGATATAGATGCAGACATAGAACAGTCTTTTTTAAAAGTTTCCACACAGGAAAGAAAAATCATAAGGATATCAAGAGTTAACTTAACTCACCAAGTATTTCTCATAAAAAAAAAAAAAAAAAAAAGTAGTAACTAGTAAAAGACATCTTTACACAAACACCACAAAATAAAGAACAATTACTAGCTATGACTGAACTCGAGCAGAAACTATTAAGCATTAAAAAGGTCAAAGTTATTTAACTTCCTAGTCCTTGAAAGCTAAAAACTATTCATCCAAAATAGACTAAAGAGACTTCATACTAAGAATACAAATAGCTAGTAATTAAGAAAGATTAAAGATACATGCCTGCATTCCTGTTTTTCCTGCATATTAAGTAACAACAACAATTGGTAAGAAGTCAGAACATTAAGGCCATTATGCACATCTTAATTTGGTTGAAATTTTACTAGGTTGTAAAGCTTTTTGCTCCTGATAGTAATATAAACAGGCTGTATTTCCTCTTCAAATATCAAAATTAGAGAACTACCAAGGGGCAAGAAACAGAATATAAGGTGCGCGAGTGGCACGTGAAAAAAGGGTGTTATGCATGAAACATCCAGCAATAATTGCATCAGACAACTAAATGACATTGACAACATTTCATTTTTGTAAGCGACCGACACGTCGCGGCGGAAGTCCTACAAAAATAATTGGAAGAGTTGGATTCATTAATATAAAGTACCAAATATTCGAACATATGAATATCGAACATCCATGATAAAACCTAATTAAACTACAGAATAATATTTAAATTTATGAATATCGAACACATTCTGTTAGAAGACCTTGAACTTCTCTTTTCATAGGCAACCAAAGATTAACTTCTCCAACTGACATTTTACAATCCAACAAAAGAAACGAATCTATTATTAAACCATAAATCCGTACATGGATTAAGAAGTAACCTCAGAGTTTCCACTACAGATGACTCATTCCATTCCTGCATATAGCCGTCAATAAACAAAAGCCAGATATGAATCAAACGAATGTGAATAAGCGGAATCAAACTCTGTTGAACGACTTAATATATATATATATGCGCTCCATTTCCAATTTCTAATCCAAGAAAACCTTCCAAACTTCTAAAAAGATCCAAGAAAACCTGTTCCTGACATTATATCATTGTAAGGCTAATTTTCCAACGAAAACAGGTGCATTTCCATGAGATCTCGCCCTACAATTTAACATTACACACAATCTCAAAAATCAGGTGTTCTTCTTGATTTTCTTTTAAATCTTTTGTTAGTGAAGCCTTTACAAAAGCAAAGATCTAGCTAGGTTCAAAATCTAATCTATTCTTATTCTACAACAAGTTACATACGCGAATTTATGAAGAGAAAATAACAAATCACTGAATTTTCTCTAGCAACAACAAAAAACTAACCTGATCCTTTCACGTTTCTTTACCAAAATTTGTTATTTGTTGTTTTTTTCTAATTTATTTTTGTTTTATGTCTAGGCTTAGGATTTCAGAAAATTAACTTGGAGCATTAAATGTAAATCCAGGACCAATGTGCTTAAAGTAAAAGTGTTATCAATATGAGAAATCTACAAAATTTATGACTGGATATCAAATATTAACCCCTTTTGTAAAAAGGTTTAATTACCAACTTTTGCCATGTTTATTCAATCAAGGAGAAAAACATTTACACGTGAAGAAAATAGCCATTGCTTATAATTCTCACAAGGACTGTCTTATCTCTCTTTTCCAGCAACTCTGATTTGAACTTGGGTTTTGGAGAATTTGAATTATAGGCCTCAATATTATAGATAGAACGTTATGGATTTGTAATTCTTCATTACTTTCATAAGAAACAAATAAAGCCCTTAATTGACTGGAAGCTTATATCTTGGTTTATCAGAATCTAGATAGGTGCAAAAAAGAGTTGAAATTTGCTCAGATTTCCAATTTAAACGGAACAAACAAATTAAAGCCTCGACAGAGATTTATAAAAATAGAAAAAGAAATTTTATTCATAGTATATCTTCATAGATCATTTCCAATTTATTGCTCAGCTATGACAAAATTAATCCATGCATGACATTACATCAAACTTCAAGAGAAGGTTTTTCTCTTCATCAAGAAATCCACAACTGCACCTACCAATGGTACGCAACTCTTGCCCAAGGAACAAACATCCTGAGTTGCGAGGCAAGTGGATATATTTCCCTCTCAATAGCAAAAGGATCGAAAATGTCGTCGTCAATCTCATAAAAAATATAGTCGTCCACCAGGGTGGAATAAGACAAATTCAGCACCTCCAAATTGGTGTCCAAGAGCAAATGTACCAGGGCTTGCCTTGAAATTTTCGAGCACGGCACAATTAGGAACTTGAGCTGCGGGAGAAGCGTGACGATGTCGTTTGCAAGATCATAGTCCACAGGGCAGATGAGCCGGAGCTCAACAAAGTTCTTGCAATGAGTACCGATAGCTCCGATCATGTTAGCCGGATAATAAGAGCATGGGAGGGTTAGAGACTCGAGGTGCTTCCAATGCTTGATGGCCTCTTCGAATCCTTCCCCGTCTATTTGATGTCGTGCGGGTAAGATAAGTCGTCGGAGGTTGGGGCTCCTGCAAGTAGGAATCTAGGTTTTAGTACAAGATAATGGATGCGTTTGAAACTCGTTGTAAAATGATTTTGTTTTTTGTATAAAAATATAAATGAAAATGTTTTCAATCTCAGACATAAATCATTTTAAAAATGCGTTTGGTAGTTTTATCAAGAGATTATTTTCAGTATAAAAAAATTTATTAATGTCCCTCTCTCTGTCTGCGTGCTTGAGAGAGGAGAAAACCAAACAAAAAATGAAAAATGACTAAAAGTCGTTTTTCATTTCTCTCTCATTTTACACTAAACTAAAAAATCATTTTTATTTTCATTTTTTGTCTTTAATTGTGCCAAATACAGTTTCTCTCTCATTTTCATTTTTTCTTTCTCGAAAAAGGTGAAAAATAAAAATAAAATCAACTCCAAACACGACAAATGTTTCTATGCAAAGTTGAAATATGTTAGTAAAGCTTGACAAGTATAAAGGTTTTCTTGTGAGTGCCAATTTAGTCGGGATGTGACAATTATCCTTAATAATGCAAGGTTATCGTCTATAATATATGATATGAAAAAAAAAGTTTGACGAGTGAAGAAAGTAATACCTTTTGGCGGCACACAACAAAAAATCAGACCTTAACAACATGAACAAATGGAAAAACAAGGTATTCAGGTTTTCACCACCGAGATTCAGAGCCTTGTTTAAAATCATCATGAGGATCAAGCTACACCGCTCGACCGTCCAAACACGTCGATCTACAGGAGCGGTGGTGGCAGAACGGCGAGAATGGATCTGATTTAGATCGACCGTGCTCCAAAAAACCGGATCACGGCAAGTTGAGCGCCACTGGCTGCATACCTGAGAGGCGCCGGTAACCAAGTCCACCATGCTCAGAGACATAAATATCTTTAGAAGGATCTCAGTGGGTAGGTCATGAATGGTTGTGACTCTAGAGGGTTTCTTGTTCATCATCTTCAAGAAAGAGGGTCTTGTTTATCTACAACGTGACAAAGTGGAAACCTAGTAAGCAGTAAATTAATTTATCACTATATATGTTGTACCATATCACCATTAACGGTGGATTAGAAGATAATTGAAAAAAAAAAATATATAGAAGATTAATGGTTGGAGGAATTTTGATTAATATTAGTGATTGTGACATGAAGCATATGGAAATCACGATAAAAATGGACTGATTGGCGAAACTCAATATACTTTAAAGAAAATCAATAGATTATAATTCAACAAAATGAATAAACTATAGTATAGGGGCAAACGACTTCATTCTAGATAAACACGTCGGGGAGAATAATATTATTTTGAAAATGTATAAACTCTATCTTAAAAGCACACTCTTCAACGTTGCTTCAAATATTATTTACAAAAGGTATGAAATACTCTAAATTAAGGAATACAAGAAAGAAAAAAAAGGGGAAAAAAAAAAAACAAAGAAAAACAATATTTCAGAATCCCTCTCTTTCTTTTGCTTAAAAAAAAAAAGAAAAAAAAAATAAGATGAGAGAGTAGAGCATGTGGATTAAAATGGTCCTAAATAATCTTTTCCTAAATTTTAATATAGTAAAAAATAGTAAACATTTAAGATCCATCATATACGAGCAACATAAGAGTACTACTGCTCAAATAATTTTGACATATTAAGGTATATACGTACAGTTTGCTACCTATCCATGTAAACTGACAAACGATAAATAAAAGCCATGAAAATTCACTATATGTAAGTACTAATAGACGACTTTTATATAAAGATTATAAGTCAAGAAACATTATTAGCTACGACTGATCTAGAGCAGAATCTAATTACTGTTAAAAGATTAAGGTTTATTTAATCCCCTAGTCCTTAAAAGCTAAAACCCGCATGTAACACGCCTATCCTGCATGAAATAGGTTTTTTTTTTTTTGTTTTTGGTAATTCAGCGCTCAAAACACGTAAAATTGAAGAGATTGCAAAAACTACGAATAAAAGTAGCTTAGAAAAAGAAAAATTCTGTCCACTTCAAAATATCATGAAGATCGCTCGTAGAAACAAGAAAAATAACATAATACAAGCAGCACAAAAAAGAAAAGATGTTATGCACGAAACATCTAGGATAATTTATAAGGAAAAGCTAGTTATTATTAACTAAATAACATTGAAAATGTGCGATAATCGTAAAAGAAGCGAAAACCCTATAAAATTATTGGAAGAGTTTGATTCATTGATTAAAGCTACTTTAAATATATAAACCGCCAAATATTTGAGAGAACAAAATAGTATAGATTAAAAATATTCTACAAAAAGACCTCGGAATTTTCTTTCTATAAACAAGATTTTATGAAATAACTAGCAGTAATTCCATAGGAGAAACTTTTATGAAGTAAATGACATTGAGAATGATTAGCCAAAAAAAAAAAAAGAGATTGAGAATGTACGATAACCGTAAAAGAAACCTCGCGAAAGTTCTATAATAATCATTGGAAGATTTGGATTCATTAATTAAAGATGCAATAAAGATATAAACTGCTAAATATTTGAGTGTACAAATAGTACAAATCAAAAACATTCTGCTAAAAAACTTGGCATTTTCGTTCTACAAGCAAGACGCAATGCATAAAACAACTAGTAGTAATTCCATTCGAGAAGCTTTCATATCAACTAAATGATGTCGAGAAAGCGCAATAACCGTAAATGAAGCTTCGCAAAAGTTTCTATGGAAGTATAGGAAGAGTTTGGATTCATTGATTAAAGTTGCTTCAAAATCATTCTGCTAGAAAACCTTGGCACATTTAAGGTGTTATGCATGAAACAGCTAGCGCTAATTTCACAGGATAAGCTTTTATCAACTAAACAACAATGAGAAAGTGCGATAACCCTAAATGAAGATCCTCAAGAATTCTAACTTTATATACGAATTGGAAGAGTTTACCTCATTGATAAAAACTGCTAGATCTGCAGATATAAACTGTCGAATATTCGAACATACGAATATTACATAACCCAGAAAAGAAAAAAAAAAGAAAAAAAGAAATCTATGCATGAATAAGATTGCCAATATTCAGAACAGTAAATGCAACTTACGAAAACATCGCTTATATTTGAGAAATAACTCTAGAAATTAAAGTCCCTACATTTGAATATGAACAGAATAATTCAACTACAAATTACTCGATTACTTCCAACAAATAATAGTCAATAAATCATTATTGAGAAAACTAAATCGGGTGGGATTTATATATATTCCCTGCTTATTAGGTTCATGCTCCAAATCATATGATTCCCTACTTTCAATCTATGAAAGCATCCCAAAGCTTAAAAGATGAAATAAAATTAACATGTATTTGACTTTGGATCATTCTGAACTCAAAATTTTTCTGAAGAAAACAAGTGTCTTTCCATGAGACATCACCATAAGAACTAACAAACAACCTCAAAAAGCAGATTTTTGGTTTTCTCCCATGTGAAAATTGCTTCTTCATTTTCTTTTCGACTCTCCTTTTTTTTTCCTCTCTGGAGGAAACAATGAAACTTTATTGAAAATAAAACCATAAAACAATTGAAGAGATTATCCTCACAAGTATAAAAGAAAGAAAACAAAGAACGAATGAAGCCTCCAATCTATAATCTATTCTCCAAACCGACTTATGTGAAGTTCATTTGTTGAAAAAAAATATTGTACCGCGATTGAACAAATGATATTATAGAACTACAAACCTCTTTTTTATGCAATCGAACTTGCAAAACTTTGAGGTTTTTCACAGAGATTATCAAACAAATTTCCTACGAAGATTTGTAATTTTCAAACTTGCATTTTGGAAAAGAAAAATCTATAGCTAGAGTACATCAAAAAGTATAAAAGTGGAAACGGACATGTTAGCACTTTTCATGTGGCACTTTAGTCACAGGGCCATTTTTGTTGTTTTCTAGTACTTTCCATAGAGGAAAAAAAAAAAGAAAGAAAAAAAATACCATTTCTAATGAGAAAATTCTATAGCTAGAGTACATCAAAAAGTATAAAAGTGGAAACGGACATGTTAGCACCTTTCATGTGGCACTTTAGTCACAGTGCCATTTTTGTTGTTTTCTAGTACTTTCCATACAGGAAAAAAAAAAAAGAGAGAAAAAAGAAAAAAAAATACCATTTCTAATGAGAAAATTCTATAGCTAGAGTACATCAAAAAGTATAAAAGTGGCACTTTAGTCACAGGGCCATTTTTGTTGTTTTCTAGTACTTTCCATACAGGAAAAAAAAAAGAGAGAAAAAAGAAAAAAAAATACCATTTCTAATGAGAAAATTCTATAGCTAGAGTACATCAAAAAGTATAAAAGTGGAAATGGACATGTTAGCACCTTTCGTGTGGCACTTTAGTCACAGGGCCATTTTTGTTGTTTTCTAGTACTTTCCATAGAGGAAAAAAAAAAGAAAGAAAAAAAATACCATTTCTAATGAGAAAATTCTATAGCTAGAGTACATCAAAAAGTATAAAAGTGGAAACGGACATGTTAGCACCTTTCATGTGGCACTTTAGTCACAGTGCCATTTTTGTTTTTTTCTAGTACTTTCCATACAGGAAAAAAAAAAAAGAGAGAAAGAAAAAAGAAAAAAAAAATACCATTTCTAATGAGAAAATTCTATAGCTAGAGTACATCAAAAAGTATAAAAGTGGCACTTTAGTCACAGGGCCATTTTTGTTGTTTTCTAGTACTTTCCATACAGGGAAAAAAAAAAGAGAGAAAAAAGAAAAAAAAGTGGCATTTCTAATGAGAAACGGACATGTTAGCACCTTTCATGTGGCACTTTAGTCACAAGGCCATTTTTGCTGTTTTCTAGTACTTTCCATACTGGAAAAAAAAAAAAAAGAAAAATACCATTTCTAATGAGAAAATTCTAATGCATACGAGAAAATGAACGAAACCAACATGAAAAAACTTGACATTATGAGAACAAAGAATTTACCACCTCAGAATGCAATGTATTCTTCGATTATGTGGGTTTGCTCTAAAATCTCTTAAAAAGAATTATTTTTGTGAAATGTAGTGCATCGATTTACCAAATTTCATCAGTTTTTATAGTAAAGGCAGAGGGCAAAATTACTATAAACTCCTTACCTTATATGTAACGGCATGTTCATATGCTAATAAGCCTTGAACTTTGACACTTGTCAAGGATAGTCCTACTCTGCTGACGTGGACAAATACCACTAGCAGCAGTTTCGTGACTTTCTTCAAGTTGTTTGTCACCAACCACTTTTTTTTTTTTTATTATTCGTTTTAACTGATAATACGTTATTAAAAAATGTTTTTAAGTCTCATTTATTTTACAGATTTAAGTTTTTAATTTAAATTGAGATGTGGCATTTTTTTAAAGTTTTTAACTGTAAAAAAAAAAGGTTAAATATGATATTTTTTGAAAATTTTTAACTATAAAAACTTAAAATTAAAAATTCAAATCGGTAAAATGAACGAGACATTAACTTTTCTTCACTCCTCTTCAAAAACATCTATAATTTTTAATTCTTTGGTCACTAAAAATGTAGACTAGATATTGCTGGCAAATAAGATTTGATAAGTATAACATTTTTTATTTATTTTTTTAAAGGGAAAAAAAGAAATGAGAAAAATGAATGGAAGACTAATTTGGTATTATGAGTCAAACTAAGAAGGTAGTATTTTTTAAGAAGTAATGTCGGATTTTTTGCATAAAGTGGTGAAGGGAATGTAACCCTTGAGTATGCAAAATCTACCATAATTTATTACTGGATTTTCCTTACCAATTTTTTCACTGTATTTACTGACATGGCATGTATTTTAATCACACAAAAATATGCAAAACTGGACAAATCAAATAAGGAAAAAAGAGGAAATAGCCGTTACCAATTCTGATTCTCTATTATTTTGAGAATTAATTAAAGTCAAGCTGGTGAGTTTTTTTTTTTTTTTTTTTTTTTTTGTAACTTTTCATTTATAAGTTAGAAGGTAAAGAATATATTTTTTAAATATATATATAACTTTAAATGAACCTTTTTCGGTACGTTAACATACTGGTAGGTCAAGTTTTATGTCCGTTAGATTTACATAAAATCACGTAAAAGTTAAAAAATACGCAGATCTAATGATTAAAAAAACTTGGCACATGAACAAAAAGGTTTGGACAGTTATGAACTCTGGCCCAAATTTAAATCTATGCGCCAGTATTTTGCACAAATGACAAAATGAAATACTAATTTTTTTTTTTTTTGAAATAATACACTTAATGAATAACGAAATTACTAGAAAATCTTCGCACATTCAAACACAGAAATGCAAATGCATAGAATTATTATGTTTAAACAGCAGAAAAAATATTATAGTAAAAAAGTTGTGTGGTTCAAACTGTGAACCAATAGACTAATAATAGCTTGGACCAACTGTTCTACATCCATTTCGACCTTCCTAGAGATCTATCAACTCGTCACCGAGAAATGTTATAATTGTCTTTGATTCAGAATTTTCTCTCCAACCAAACAGTCTCCAAAGAAATTTCCAACCCTTGCATACTCGATGCAACAGTAAAGTTTCTCATACTGAAAGAAAGAAAAAGTACTCATAAGGGAGTTTTTCCGGTAGAATCAAAAAACTAGAACTATCGATAGTTCTTTATTTTTCAACCATCAATAATGTATCAAAAACTATATGTTTTGCATACTTTTTTTGTCTGATTTTATTTTGATCATATTTTACTATCAGAAAACTGATCCTATCAGTACCACAGCCTACCGAAAAAATCTCCCCTCTAATGAAGGAATTACTAAACTTATCCTTAACAAGTGCATAAATCTTGATTTTTACCTCTTACTCTTAATTAATACCCTTTTAACTACTATAATTATTTAACTAAAAAGATGCTAATAAAAAATAAGTAATAAAAATCTAGACTCATGCACTCTAAAAAATACAGGTCCTTGTCTCATTTTCCCACTTTTAATTTATACATTAGGAACAATCCTCTTTGGTAACTAACCGTTATAACTTCTCAAGAAAATCTTGCTATATGATTGAAACACGAAGTTTATAAGTTGTACAAATTTGCAAGAAAATAAAATTAAGAAAACATTTAAATTTAACTAAAAAGGTTACAATTGATGGACTGTACAACATGGCATTATCTGGTCAACCTTCATAAGCCAATCTTACAGGGGGCTTCTACATACAATTCCTTCGTCCAGGGCACCTACCCGAGAATATCATAAGCTTGCATGAGGCAACCTAATATGATGAATGACTCGAGAGGAAAACAAATAAAAAGCAAATAACCAAAAACGAAACGACCCGCAGAATTGCTGAATCTGAGGCCAGAAGAATGAAGATCCAAACTAGACCTAGTGGACGAAGATGGATATTTTTGTATCGAAGATAAATAAGCTGATGCTGATTTGAAACGAAAGTGAGGCTTCTTGCCTCTCTTGTTTCTGCTGACTTGCAGATAAGTTCTACATCCGAGTTCCAATAAGTTCTACTTGTGTATTCTTATGCCAGGTATATCTCTTAACCCCATCTTCACCGCCGTCTTTCTAAAGAGAGCAGGAGGCTTTTGCAGACCAATTGATTCAGAAAATTTGTTGGCCGCCTCGACGAGTGTAGTTTTATCCCTGCCAATTTCCTTTATCGAGTTATAATAGCCAAGCCAAGCGTGATATGCTGATTCTTTGACACTACCATCAACCTTGGCCATGGAGTCTTCCATCTACAAGCCAAATCCCAGCACAAAAGTGAGAAATATGTACAAGATTGTGATAGCATGTAAACAAGAAAAATTAAAAAACAAAGGGCCCGTTTGGTTCTAAGACTTGAACCCATGATTCTGATTTTGCTCTCTCACAAAAAAAAAAAAAAAAAAAAAAAAAAAAAAAAAAAAAAAAAAAGAAGAAGAAGAAGAAGAAGAAGAGAATAAAAAAAGTTCCCACCAATGGGTTCTCTCATAAAATTTAAATTCAGAATCAAAATCACTGATTTGAATGGATGAACCAAACGCGCTAAAAGGTTATTTGTATATCAATGATTAATTTCAATATTGTAGTATGACACGAGAGCAAGACTTTGAGGACGACTAGCGAATGCAAATAAACGTGTTTTTCCCCCCCACAATTCTGCTCAGACTTTGGAGCTTCTTATCCCTGTTGGGTTTTATATTTTACTTGGTTTCTTTCTCACAACATAACTAGCATAAAGGAAGAAAATCAACTGCAGAGATGAGGCTGCCAATAACCTTAAGTTTTGCATTTGCATCCAAATGCGGTAAAGTAAAATTTTCAAGTGGGATATCTTTCAATTCGCCCAGGAAATATTCCTCCCATGGTGCAAGTATCAACATGCCTTCACCTTCTTTTCCTTCCCTTCCTGTTCTTCCAAGACGATGTATATACTGATTCCGGGACAAAGGAATACCCACCTAGAAAATGTCATAACTGAACGAATTAGATAGAACAGAGAACTAATAAAAAGTAATATAGGCACAAGCAGAAACCCTTCTGAATAATCAAGCATTTGCATGCACTAGAAGAATTTGCTATGCAAGAGGCAAGTCAGACTATAAAATTTCCACGTATAAACACATGCTAATAAAAAAAATATTAACTACTAAGCTTTTTCTTTTTTCAGAGTGACCACACCACTATACCACTTTTCCCAAATACCTGAATGACTAAGGTAACATCAGGATAGTTCATTCCACGAGATGAAACATCGGATGTAACAAGAATCAGTCTCTTTGATTCCTTGAATTCCTCAGAGATTCGAGTTCGAGAGAGTTGAGGTTTTCTGGTATGCATCTCCCTGACGTTCAATTTCATCTCACGGAGAAGAAGATACATAAGCGATGTTACCATTGCTGTCGTGCAGAAAACAATAACCTGAAAGGAAAAATGTTAGGCCAAAAGCATGTGCAACCAAACAAACAAAATTGAGATCTTTAACAGCTAACCTTATAGTCTGGTGTTTTTGATATGTGCTTCGTTAAAAGATGATGCACCATTTGAAAATGCAATTCGTGTGGTGCAACAAGATAAGATTGCTTAACCTGCATCCGGAGAAAGCAAGATGGGATCACCACCTCTACCACGAGCTTTAGATATGATAATTCATAGGCTGTTTTAGTCTCCATAAAAATAAATCAAAATGAATAGACTTCTAAACTAAATATACCAGATTTGTAGTGCATAGCATTTATCATGTATGATCTGCTAAATGGTTAGAGATATAAACCTGAGAAAGCGTTTCGACACAACCCAGACCAACCGTATCAATTAAAGCATGCTCCCTTTTCAAAACAAGCTGTGATATTCGGCGAACCTGCATATTTATAATCATACAGAATATGACATCTTAGAGGATCCATAAAGAAAAATGTATCTGCTTATTTAATATTTGGATTACCAAAAATTGAGGGTCTAACCTCTTTAGGAATTGTTGCAGTAAAGAGCAAGGACTGCCTCTGACGAGGCAAACAATCAACGATTTTCTCTATGTCCTTCCGGAATCCCAGGTCTAGTAAATGGCCAGCTTCATCAAGTATGAGCATTTTCAAGCCCATCAATTGCACTGACAACCCAGATTTATTCTCAACATGGTCCAGCAATCTGCCAGGAGTTGCAACTACAATCTGCAATAAATCCATAGAACAACTTTCTTTCTCTTAACAACCACATGATAATGATATGATTATGCAACAGTTTTAACCGGAAAGGTAAAAGGACCTGGCTTGGGCTCGATTCAAGGCGTTTCTGGTCATCTTTGAATCGTGTACCTCCAACCAATGTTTGAACGCCTATTCCCTTATGGTACTTCAGCAAAGCATTTGTTTCTGCTGCTATCTGACTTGCAAGTTCTCTAGTGGGGCAGAGAATAAGAACAAAAATAGTAGGCACCCGCTGAAGGGAGTTGTCACTCATTGCCTTCAGAACTGTTTCAATAGCAGGAAGCTGCTTGTATTTAGTAATGCCGCCCAAAAAACAACGTAAATTGTTTCAGATACAATTTTAAAGAAAAACAAGGAAAATGGAACGTACCAAAAAAGACACAGTTTTTCCGGTTCCAGCTTTAGCTTTGACCAAAGCATCGTTTCCTGCTCCATTTAGAAGGAAAACCATAAAAAATTAAAAATAAAATAAAATAAAAACACTACTTTATTTCTCCCCACAAAAATCTATCAACGGGATATCTTCACACAGGAGCCACAACGAAATTCACATAGTGAAAACATCACTTAAACCTTGTTGCACCCATATGGATTTCACATCTGTTTGGCCCAATTACATAGTTTGTATAATGTGGAGCAAAGGCTTCAGTTTCATGTATCAACCTAACAATCCTATAAAGGCTAAAACCTCCCAACTGTATTCACATTTTATAATGTGAGGCTCAAATGTAATACACATAAAGTAGACAAGTGACTATATAACATACTTCAAAACCACCAAAAAAAAAAAAAAAAAGTGGCTATGAAATACCATCTAGAACAACAGAAAGGGCGGCCTCCTGTACTCGAGTCATGCGAACATAACCAGCAGATTTGAGTGCCTTGATCGTCAATGGAGATATATCAAATTCATCAAATCTGTGAAAACAAAAAACACACTTACTAAAAATGCTTTGCATACATAATAATAGTCACTTTACCTAACTTCATTGACATACAAATAACATACCTTTTCTCACTAAGAACGGATTCCTCCTCCTTATCCTCATCCTCTTCCCCTTGAAGCAATTTCTTCCTATTGATTTCAAACCTAATCGACTCAATCTGCTCCGAAAAATCGATTTCTTTCTCCAACGAATTCAGGGGTATTCTCCTTTTGATTATTTTCACATCATACTTCCCCAAAGAAGCCCTGCTTCCCATCTTCTTCACATCGTACGTAGGCGAGTTAATGTCCTCGGAATCGGATTCGGAGTCAAAATCGCTCGAAGAATCGCCATGTCTGAAGTATCTCCTCTGCTTCTTGCCCGAAATTTTCCTACTTGCCGAAGGATTACTCGAATTCCTCTCAAGCTTTGAGCTTTCGCGGTTCGCCGCTAAAGCAGAACCCTCATTTCTCCCATTCCTCCAGCTCTGCACCGAGTAATGCCTAGCCCTAACACGATTCCCACTCAAATTGCTCGTATTCACATTTCCAATCCCCCGATTCGAAGCCGAATTACACCCTTCCAAAAACGCATTCCTCAAATCAAACGAAGATTCAGCTTTAGGGACCGATCTCCGCGGCTCGTTCGGCTTCGGCGGAGGCGGGGATTTGATCGGACCGTCGCGCTCGTTCCACAAATCCTCAGCCCCTTCCTTCATGAACCGATCGGCTAGGGCCTTCACGTGGGACTCGGGGCTCATCGGACCGGTTCCAGTACCGGTAAATGGGTCGGGTTTTCCGGCGACATTGGCGCGGATTTGGGAGCGGATGCGGGCCTGGTAGAGCTCCATCTCTTGGCGAAGGAGGGATCTTTCTTTGTCTCTGGCCCGCTTCTCGTGCATGCGCTTCCATTGCCACTTGTTTAGGCCGCCGGGGAAAGTGCGGGGCCCGCCGCCCATGGGGCGGGTCAGGACGAGGGTGGAGAGAAGCTTCGGGAGGTGGTTGCGGCGCTTGAGTAGGATTGACGAGGACATGTTTTTTATGATGGTGATTTTGGAAGGGGAAGATTTGATTTTGGGGTTGCAGAGAAGTCGGGCGTTGGGAAGTTCAGTTGAGAATTCAGACTTCAGTGAGGGTTTAGGGTTTAAGGATGGAGAAAAAGAGGAAAGCTTCTGAGTGCTTAGAATTATTTTTGTTTTCGTTTTTTTTTTTTAAGAAAGAAAAAATAAAAATAATTTTAAAATATAATTAAAGATAAAAAAATAAAAATAAAAATAATTTTTTAGTTTAATATAAAATATAAAAATAATAAAAAATAATTTTTTATAACAAAAAAATTTTGACGTGTATTTTACGTGTCAAAAAATTGGTCTTATTCAGTCCATGTGTATGGGTTATTTTAAAAAAACTCTCCCTCACAAACCGAACTCTACCTCACGACCGACCGACTTCCTCAATTCTCTCATCGGTTTTTCTCTCCGATCTCTCACCGACCCTCACCACCGAGTTTCAATCGCCGGTTTTTCTCTTCGATCTGTCACCAACCCTCACGACCGACCTTCACCGCCGAGTTCCTCTCACCGGTTTCTCTCTCGCCTACGTTCTCTCGTTAGCCGATCCTCTCTCGTCGACCGACCCTCTCTCACCGACATTCTCTCGCCGAAAAAACTGACCCTCTTTCCCCGACGAAACTGACCCTCTCTTGCCGACGACCGACCACCTCTCACCAAAAACCGACCCCCTTCTCACCAAAAACCGACCATCGTGCTCACTCGACCACCCTTCTCACCAAAAACCGACCCCTCATTCACCAAAACCGACCACCTTCTCACTAAAAATTGACCACCCTCCCTCACCAAAAACTGACTAAAAACCGGCGACTTCCACGACTGAAATGGCATCACAAAATTGCTCTTCTTCCTCAACTAAGACGACCATTTTCCGAACACTTGTCGACGAGGCAACAGAATCTGCTCAAGTAACATTAAAATTAAGGTTTTATTCTTGTTTTACTTTTTTTCATACATTTTTGCAAGAACAAAAACTTAATATAAGAAAACAAGAATTGCATACATTAGTGTTGGTTTGTTCATAGTCGGTTCTTTGTCGGTTTTGGTTGTTATGTGGTCTGTTCGTAGTCGGTTTCAAGCCGGTTCTATGTCGGTTTAAGGTCGGTTCTTGGAAGGGTCGGTTCTTGTCATTTTTTAGGTTGGTTCTAGTGGGAAGGTCGTTTCTTGGTCGGTTCGGTCGGGTCTTGGTTGGTTCGATCAGGTCATGGTCGGTTCAGTCAGTTCTTGTCGAATTTGGGGTCGGTTCGGTCCGGTTTGGTCAAATTTTGGGTGATTCGGTCGGTTCTATTCGGTTTGGTCTGTTCTAAGTTGTTCAGTCAGTTCTAGGTCATGGACTGTCTGTTCTGGATCGATTCTAGGTCGGTTCGATTGGTTATAGTCGGTTCGAGATCAGTTCTTGGTATATTCTAGTCGGTTCTGTCGTCTTGGTCGGTTCTAACCGATGTTTTTTTTCTTTTTTTCAGTATGATCTCCCGAAGTACAACACAGATGAACTTCCTGGGATTGAACAGCTAAGGATGATCATGGATCCTATACAGGAGTACTTCCCAGTGAAAGTCACTATAAAGTTAAAGATCGAGGCCCTGGAAGTAATAAGGCAGAATTTAGACCATGAAACGGAAATGCCAATTTTCAAGGAATCTGCCTTAGGACATTTGATTTCGATGTCTCAAAATATGATCTATTTTGGAGTGTTGACATACTATCTGCTTTTGAGGCAGATAGAAACAGAATAGAAACATGAGTTGTGGTTCATGGTTAATGGAAAACCAACTAGGTTCGGAATGAGGGAATTCGCTTTAATCACTGGATTGAACTGTGGGGAAATCCCAGAGCCGAACGTGGTGTTGAAAGCTTCGAAGAATATAAGATTGTTGGAGCATTTTAAGGCCCACGTAGTACTTGTTGCTGATTAAAAGAAATTGCTCACAGAGAACAAGATAAAAGGTAGCGATAAAGTAAAGATCACTATCATTTACTTTTTAGCACAAGTATTACTATCTAGGGACGAGAAGAAGACCGTCCCACTGGATTGGCTGTCGTACGTCGACGATTTAAATTTCTTTAACAGCTATCCATGGGGCATGGTGTCTTTTGAATGCACTATACGGTCTTTGAGGAAGAACTTGAAAGAGAAATTCCAGAAATGGGTTCGAAAAGGACATAATAAGAGCATCAAGGAAACCTACTCAATATGCGGGTTTCCTTGGGCCTTCCAGGTATGTCGTACAGTTATATGCATAATTTTTAATCATGTCCTTATATTAAATAATACATAATTTTTTATTTTACTAGACTTAAAAAAATTTATTTAACGCAGGTTTGGGCTTTCGAAACTTTTCCAACCATCGACGCCACATTTGCAAAGATGGTTGATGGATGTCTTCCCAGAATCCTCAAATGGGAGGCACGCCGGGTTTCATTGGTCGAGGTTGGACAGATAGACGACCTCATGCAAAGTGGCGAGGTAAGGGTTTAAATACAATGTGTTTATAGGTATTTTTTTACAAAGTAGGCACATTTATTTTTTTTACAATATGTTTTCACCTAAATAATCATTGAATGTATGTTGTTTTAATATACAGGGAATGATCGTACCAATTCTTTATCCCACTGAGGAGGAAATGAATAGTATGTGCATGAGGTTGTATCTGCCTTATGCCGACCAAGAAGATGCAGGGATTGACCAGCTTGCATCGTTTTTGGACTATGGTGCAAGAATGGTCCATGTCCAGCAACCGAAGCCTCCCAAACAATATTCTTGTCTCCAACAACTTCCCCCAACAACAACAACAACAACAACCTCGTCCGCATGATGGTATGTCTATTTATTACATACTTGACATACTCTATCAGAGGATGGTAGAGTACAATAGTAGACATTTTGAAGCCATCAACAAGAGGTTAGACTCACTAGACCAATCTGTTAGAGAAATAAAGGACAATATAGCATATCTAGCAAAATAACAGTTACAGTCACAGCCTAAGGAACAACTTGAGCCACAGGTTCAGCGAGAGCCTGAGAACAACTTGAGCAACAGGTTCAGCCAGAGCCTGAGGATGAATGCAAGAATGAAAAGCGACTTAAAAGGCCCAGCAAGTATTTTGAGTCGACTTACACAGATCCCCTGCATAAGGTGATGAAGAAGATGTGGACCTATACAGATGCTGTCAATGCCTTCAAAAAGTGGTTCGCTGATACTAGTACAGACTCTGAGCTGATAGAGTGCGATTTTGATGATTGAAAGAATGACTTCTTCCGAATCATCTTGAAGCCAGGTGAATGGATGTTCAATGAAGTAAGTAATCACAACATATTTTTTAAATTTATAGTCTTATTTTTTATACTATTATTATTACACTGAATTTATTTTTTATGACTTACAGCAAATTGACAAGACATTGGGTCTTTTATCTATGAGAAGGTCACGGGCCAACGAAAGAGAGTTCATTAACGATATCATCATCCTAGATGATGTATTTTGCCAGAAATTAAGAGGGTGATTCATCGCCAACAAATCACAATTGGCAGCGTATACCTTTGACAACGACCTGGATGAATATGTATGTGAAAAAAAGCGCATAATTGGAAAGAAATGGGATGGCGCACAAGGCTTCACTATGCCTCTTAACATTGAGCATAAGCATTGGGTTGCGTTTTATGTTGATTTATCTGAAATTAACATAAAGGTGTATGACTCAGCTGTTATGATGTACAGAGATCAACAGATGTAAAGATACGTGGAGCCAATCTCTGTCATGATGCCCAAGTTCTTGAAGTACACAGGTTTATTTAACCATCTGGGCGATAAACTTGACTGTGCGTGGCCAATCGTTCGTCCTAAGTGGTTGGTCCACAACCTCAGAACAGGTGACTATGGACTTTTCACATACAAATTTATCGAATACCTTGTCCGCAGAATCCCGTTAGAAGAACTCGCTAAAGAACAAGTAGAAACGTACCGGTTGGAACTTACGGTTGGAATTTAGAGCGAGTACAAGCTTAAAAGGCCCGTGAGTAGTATATAAAATGTTGTTTTGCTTGTTGTAAAATGTATACAAAACATTATTGGCGTTACAATATTTTTATTATTGGCGTTGCAATGTTTTTACACTTATTATATTCAACAGGTTATTAACTAAAATCAAAGAAAACTAAATTAAATTGAAAGATAACAGTAATGAATAACACGCGCTGAAATTAAAATAGAAAATCAATATGATGACAAAACGCATGTTTCATTGTAAAATCGGTAACTCAGGCGACATATCGCCTAGAAAAGGCGACATATCGCCTGACAGCTACAACAGATCGGCACAAAGGAAGCGACATATCGCAGCTCTTGTTGTTCCATCGTACAAGTTTGCTCAATTTTGCTCTTTTTCGCACCGCGTCGCCATCTGAATACGCCGTATCGCCTCATTCTCTGTCTTTTTGATCCAAAATGCCTCAAAACTCGGCGAACAGACTAGAACCGACCGCCTGACCAAGAACAGACTAATAACCGACCGAACAGACTAAGAACTGACCGACTAGAACAATAATCGACCGAACAGGCCAAGAACAGACTAAGAACCGACCACCAGACCAAGAACAGACCATTAACCGACGGAACAGACCAAGAACCGACCACCAGACCAAAAACAGACCAAGAACAGACCATTAACCGACGGAACAGACCAAGAACCGACCACCAGACCAAGAACTAACCACCATACCAAAAACAGACCAAAAACCGACCAAGCTAATAAATCATTACAAACATACATTTTTACATATTTTTTGATTTCTTACATATTGATAACCATTGTAATTTATAAAAGAGAAAAAAAAAATTGGTAAAAAATGAAAAAACCAATAACATACCAATAACATACCAATAACAAACCAAGAACAGACGAGTAACAAACTCTAATAAAACATTAAAAACATACATTTTTACATTTTTTTTTATTTTTTGGGTATTAATAACCATTGTAATTTATAAAAGAGAAAAAAAAATTGGTAAAAAATGAAAAAATCCTGAACAGACCAAGAACAAACTCTAATAAAACATTA